CATTAGTCGGTTATAAGTGTAGTGCTTGGTGGCTCTCCCTGTTCCCGATAGGTTTTCTTTTTTTCTTTCTGTCTCTTTTTCTGCCTCAGGTGGTCTGGCAGGCAGTAATAAGCGCGGGACTTGGTGGTGACCCCAGTTCCTGCAAACTTTCCGCGATGCCTTTTCTGCTCCTGCTGGTCCATCAGTCAGTTATAGGTGCAGTGCTTGGTGGTGATCCCCACTCCTGATGAATTTCTGTGGGGCTGCCTTCTGCTCACGGCCTGTGCCTCTCCAGGCCAGCCCCACTGTTCACATGCCCACCTCGCGCTCTCCATTTCGATCTTGTCATGCTGAATGACAATTTTTCAGTGGCTTAGAGCCCCTACTTCCCACCTGTCTGTGTGGCCTGTTGCTTCTTCACTGTACTTACATTCCTGTTTTTGATACTATGAAGCGTTTTGTCCAGGTGGTCCCAAGCAGTATCAGTCTCTTGCCATTATCTCACAGCTACTTAGTCTGCCTACCTCCCTTGTAACCACTTGTGACAGTCTGTCAGCTAGTTCTAAGCCCACTTAATATGTCCTTTTCTGATGCTACATTATGCTAATTTTTAATCAGTGTCAGGAGGTACTAAATCAGACTCTGTGCAAACATCTGAGTAAATTACAATTATGTGATTACATTTATAAACCAAACGAGTAATGTCATCAAAGAATGAAATTGAGTTTGTCTGACGAGATCTATTTTCCAAAAAATAAGCTTACTGGCTAGCTTTATACATGTTGTTATTCCTCAGCCCTTCCTTGATTTAATTTCCTGTCACCTGGCTGTTGATCCTCCTGATGACCTAGAGACGCCAGATCATCTCATTTGCCCTTTTTGAACATTGGCATAATCTTCTATTATTTCCTTCATTTTCCAAGATTTATTAAAAATTAACAGCTTACCCAAGATCTCCTTAGCCAGCTCTCCAAGGACTGTTGCACGGAAGCATCCTAATTGAAAAGTCTTTATTCTAGATGTTGCGTACCATCTTTGTTAGTTACTAAGGAACTGGAAAGCACTTCCTCATTACTAGATAATAAAGCGCCTCAATATCAAACAGAGAATGCTAACATTTCTGCCACTTCTGTACCGTTTTTTCTATGCAGTAGTAGGATCTTTCCTGCTCTTAATGTACTTACCTCCCTCCCTTACAGTCCATGGTTGGTAGTCTTCATTTCTTATAACATTTTTCCCATATTTTTGCCTTTCCGTATTTTTAACTTTGGATCGTTTCTATTCACCTTACTGCTGAGCCATAATTGTCGCATCTTTAGCCAAAATGGTCCTTTTTTAAATTATGAAATCATAGCTTTTAGGCTATGTAGGGAACTCATAAGAATTCACAAATATTTCTCTCTCTATTTTTGTGTCGTTCTTTTCTCATCTAGGAGAGGGGAGAGACTTTCTGAAGCATCTCTGTGTATATGTGTTGGGACTGTCCTTTTTGGCTCTTAATTATTGTAATCAGGTTGTGATTGCTAGTTGCTAAGCAATCAGCATTTTCCTGTCCCATGATTAAATTGTTTGACATTATGAATTACAAAATACCTTTCCTGTATAGCCTGGAATAACTTCTGTCCCAGAAAATAAGTTTTGGAAACTACAAGAAGACCTGGCTGCTAGCTATATGGGTTTTTTCTCTTACAGATCTTTTTGTGCATTAGAGGAATGACTAGTCTGACTAACGACCGGTAGCCACCTCTGCTCCATCCCGCCCCTCCTGAATTGGATTAATCAGGATAAGTTACTGTCTCTTCATCTCTAAAACAATGATGTGTTTTAATGTGGAACATTACCGTCTCACATTTTTAAATTGCCTTTTTTTTTTCTTAAAAGGATTATGGCAGAATATTTTAATTTTCCAATTTGGTGAATTGCCCTGACTGTTTCAGTAATGTTAATTAGATCTCATTTCTCCTCTGCAGTGAAAATGTTCAGTTCTTGCATGTTACTGAGACTCAGAGATTTGGCATGCAAACCATTGAAAAATGTCCCTTTGGGTATGCATTGGCCTAGAAATGGACCCGAGAGCATGGTCTTCATGCCATTTCTGTTTCATGCAGCATTAGCACCTTGGTTTCTGTTTGTCTAAAATTGCTCTGCTCTGTTTCAAGTAAGAGGCATTGAACGGATTAGGTTAATGTAAGAATTATGGCTGTTCATGAATGCAGCAGTAGTCAAAGTGGCTCTGAATCACTGGGAAGCAGTCGCCATGCAAAGATTTTATTTTCAGAGATCACATGTTGTTGCCTCTGGCCTGCAAGCAAGAAAATAAACAAACAAGAACCAAAACCTGAAACATAACTGTCCATGTAGCAACTCCAACATGGCTTTTTTTTTTGCTTGGAAGTAGGCACACATATCTCGTAGTTATAACTGTAGCAGGAGAGAGGAGGCCATGGCTGCTATGTTCCACTTGTTCATCCCTGGCTACCTTCGCACTAATGCAGAAAGATGGGATGGTTATTGAGATAGGATGTACAAAAAGTTAGACCTCCAGTTCCTGGAGCTAGAGGTATGTAGAGCGCTGTGCACAGTCACCTGTCTAATCAGGCCTTTGGCATGTTACTTATGGGGAACCTGGAAATGTATTTGTGGAGTCTTTGGGACAAATAAAATGAACGGCCTTGCTCTGAGCTTTTCACAGTGTAAGTTAGATTTCACACGATCAGGGGTGATAATAACTGGGAATGGAA